GACTTTTGGGAAGGCAGTGGAGGGGTTGAGGATGTTTGACCCTGCTGGCTCTGAGCTGGTGGATTTTTGGGAAGCAAAGGTGAATATCCAAGGAAAACTCAGAACAAGGCTCCCCCAGTCCATTTTTCCCGCTTCTCAAAGGCCCATTTTCCTTGGAAGCACGACACCGACTCCGGCTGTCATGTCCCATTCCCTGGCTGGTGTTAAACCCGTGCCAGACACTTATTCCCGTTTAAATGAGAAATAAAATCCTGCCACAGCTTTCCAGGAGGAAAAGCTCCAGATTCAGCAAAATTCCACCTCTCCGGATGGGGTCAGCTGGGAATTCTTTGCCCTTGGAGTCCTCCCGGGTTAACAGTGAGAGGCATCATCATATTCCGACTGTAAATTGTCCTGGAAAGTCATAAATAAGGCATGGCCAGAGCCGGGAAGGGAGCGGGAAGGAATTTGCTGCGTTCCCAGGAACAACTGGAGCTGCTGAATTTTTCATGGACAAGATGTTGCAAAGTGCTGCCAGTCGGGGCACATTTGGTTCTTGCGGATCCGGGGGTTCCATCCCCAGATCTGCCATGGCTGCGGACATTCCAGGAGTGGGCATTTTTGGGAGCACTCCCAGCTTTTTCCAGGGGAGTTTGCACCCCTTTGTATCCCACCTAAAGGGGCGAAATGTCTCCTGCTCTCCTTAAATCCTGGGAATTGTGGGATATCGGCCAGTTAAGGGAGTGCTGGGGTCTGTTTTTCTGTTCACTCCTGGTTTTCCCATCCCAGCCCTTGGAAAAGGGAGGTGGAGGAATGGGAGGGAATTATGGCTAAGCCCCGTTAATCACTGGCTAATTAAAATGATGAAGTGTTCATGTTGTCACCGGCTCCTGGAGGATGCTGGGGACATTCCAGAGGGGGATGGAGCCGCTGGATCTGAAGAATCCTCTCCTCTGGCTCCATCCTGAGCTCCCGCTCCGCTCAGATCTGCTGCTGCTTCCAAGGACACTTCCTAAAAGGATGGGGACGGGTTGGACTTTGGGGACATGGAAATGGGGAAAATCCATCCTCAGCTGGGGCTGTCCCATCCCATGATTTGTCCAAACCTGGACGGGGCTTGGAGCAACCTGGGATAGTGGCAGGAGTCCCTTCCCATGGAACAAGATGAGCTTTAAGGTCCCTTCCAATCCAGTTCCAGAATTCCATTGGTTTGAGGTTTTTGGGAAGCACTGGGAGATGAGAAATCTGGGAGTGGGAGCACTGGGCCATCTCCATAAATAAATCTTGGATTTCCATGTGGGATGGAAGGAACCAGGTGCCTGGGGAAGACATGGAAGGGGCTCCCTGTGGTGCTGGGATTCCTTGGAAGGCTCCATTACTCCAAGGCCTTTCCTTGGGACATTCCCACCCCATCCCATCCCCTCCCTTCCCTCTTCCCCAGGAACCTCAGAGAAATTCCAGCCACTTGTGCTTCACCCCTGGCCATTCCCATGGAGTGTCCGGCTGCACTTGTGGGCAGAAATCCCCATGGAATGCTGGAATGGGCTGGAAATGGGGTTTTCATCCAGCATCCCACACTTCCAGGGCTGGAGCAATTCCTGCCTCATCCCTGGGAGCTCTTTTGTAATTGGAAGCACCGAGCTTGTTCCAATGCTCTCCTTTATGAACGCGTCACTCCCGATTTCAAAGGACATTTCCTTTATCCCTCCCTTCCCCCCTCCTCCCCCTCCTTCCCTTTTCCCTTTTTTTAAATCCCCCTTAAACTGGACTGTGCCAGAATTCCCAGCGATTGCCAGCAAAAATATCCTCTCCTCCCCAGGGCTGCCATCTAATCAGAGGGATGAATTTCCAGAGGGCTGAATCCGATCTGGGGGAGGTCCGGCCTGGCATTCTCTGGAAAATCTCGGATTGAAAAGAGCAAAGGGGAAGTGGAGCGAGGCTGAGAAGAGGATGCAGATAAAGGGATGCTGATAACGCGAGGGATGACAGAAATTTGGGATGGGCTCTTCCTTTTGGAAGAGTTCTTCCCACCCAGCCGTCCCCGTCACAGCCGCTTTGTTCTCCTCAGTAAATCCCAAAAAAAAGGGAGCCGAGGGAGGCTTCGGAGCAGCGCTGGCACCTGGCAGTTGTTCCCTGTCGGGAGGCGAAGGGAAGGGGAGGATGAGGGATGGGATTCGCACGTCAGCCACAGCCAAGCAGCGGGGTCTGGACGGCTCCATCTGGATTCCTGCTTTATTTTCCTTTGTTTTCCCGCTTTTCCCCCTCCCCTCCACGCATCCTTGGCTGGCTCCTGTGGGGACACGGCATCTGTTTCCCTCTCCCTCTTCTCTCCTTCTTTTCCACAACTTCTGAACTGGTTTTGCTCTGGATTTGAGCAGTGATGCTCTTGAAGCATTTGAATTTTCCCCCTTCCTGCCTTTTCCAGGCCCGGTCAGGGCTCTGGAATCAGCTCTGCATGGGATCCTGATCCCACAGCACGGGAGCAATAAATCCTGGAGCTCCAGAGCTTCCATGCAGGAGAAGCTCGGGTGCATCCAGTGGTTCCACCCTGGTGTTTTTAGGGATGAAATATCTGGATTTAAGGCCCAGCCAAGCCAGAATTCCCAGGAATATGGGTAGAGGCTGCTCCCAATGCCAGCTCTGAGTGGTTTTCCAGCACATGGAGGAAGCAGAGAGGGGAAAAATTCCAATTTTGTGGGATTTTTTTGGCCATCCAGAAGATGCAGGTCAGGGGTGGGTTTGGAGGGGGATTTCCTTGGGAAAAGGCTTGGATGGCTGGATTTGCTGCATGGGAGTGGCTGAGGCCATCCCAAACTTTGTTCTTTTTGACTTTAAAAATCCACCAAAAATCAGGGTTTGGTCCAAACACCACCAAAGTCTTGGCTGAACTCCTGTGGGGATGCATCCCTTTCCCATGGAAGTGCATGGGTCTGGAAGGGAATAGCTTGGGAAGAGGGATGGAAAACATCTGAAAATGCTGAGCTGGGAATTCCTGGATCCCATGGACCAGAGGAAAAATCCAATTCCCACTGCAGTTGGGCTGGGATGGGGATGGATCCATTTCCCATGGAAGTGCACAGGTCTGGAAGGGAATAATGTGGGAAGAGGGATGGAAAACGTCCAGAAATGCTGAGCTGGGAACTCCTGGATCCCATGGATAGGGGGAAAATCCAGTCTCTGCTCTGGACTGCAATGGGGATGGTTTTGTATGGAAGTGCACAGTTCTGGAAGGGAATAATGTCAGAAGAGGGATGGAAACCATCCAGAAATGCCGCTCTGGGAACTCCTGGATCTCCACATCCCACGGACAGGAGGGAAAATCCAATCTTTGCTCCAGCTTTGCCAGCTCCTCCCCGGCTCCCTTTAATCTCCGGTTGATCCGGGGGCAGGCAGGAGCTGCGATCCCACCCGGGGGCTCCATGGAAAGGCAGAGCTCTTGCGCACGCACGGAGGCTCCATCCCGAATTCCTTGGGGCGGATCCTGCCGCGCTGCCAAGGGTTTGCTCATCCCCCACCCTCCCCGCCGCTTTTCCGTGCCTGTTGCTCGTCCCGGCGTTCGGAAATGTCAAAAGCCGAGCGAGGGGAGTCGGGGCAGCCGGAGAGACCTCGGCTGCCCTTCCTCCTCCTCTTCCTCCTCCTCCTCCTCCCGTTCCTGCCTTTTCCATCCGCACAGCCCCGAATCCAAGGGGCCCTCGTGCAGCCTTGGCAATCGCAGGGATTTAATCCCTGCTTTAGGAACAAAAATAAACCCTGGACAGGCAGGGAGAGACTGGAAAGGCACCGGCCCCGGGTGGACAGGGAATGTTGGCCAGGATTTGGGTCACTCTCAGCCAGGAAAACGAGGATTCCAGGATACAACATCAAAATTCCCTCATTCCAAGCATCATTTGGGGCTGAAAAGAGATTTAACCCTCAGCCCTACCCCCAAACAGTCCCAAAAATCCACTTTTTCCCCTGGTGTTTCCTTGTGCAGAGCTGTTCCCGCAGCCCCCCAAAAGCAGCACAAAACGGGATTTTCCGGCTTTTTCCCGGTGTTCAATATTCCAGGCCACGCTGCCCTGCTGCCGCAGCCGGCACGTGTTCCCGGAGCGTGTTCTCCCGCAGGTCGTGCCTGGGATTTATGGCACAAACACCTCTAAGTTGTTTTACAAGGAATGCTGAGCCTCAGGATCACCGCCTGGGAGGCACAAAAAATCCCAGGAATTCACCTTCTGCCCTTGCAGGGCATCTTCCACAAAGGAATCTCCGGTTTCTAGCCCCATTTCCAAACCTGCTCCTGTTTCCCAGACTTTTTCGGCTCTTTTCCCACCTGGTGTGAGGAGAGATTTAAAAAAAGAGAATTTTGAGTGGGTGGGTTTTGGGTTTTTTTTGATATCCCGGTGTCAAACAGGGAAGGATGCCTGGGATTTGCCAGGCTGTCAATCCATCAATTCCCAACAGCCGCAGGAAAGGCAGGAAAATAAAGCAGGAATGCAATTCCTGTCCCTGCTGCCCCCCTGGCTGCTTCCCTCTCCCGATTTCCCAACAAATCGAGGGGAAACAGGGAGAAAAGGGACGGATGGAGCTGCTCAGACTCCAATTTTCCTCTGGAACGAGGTTGGATCCGGAATCCGGCTGTGGGGAGATGGGGAAGGAGCTGGAAAACTCTCGGGTGGGGGTTGCACATCCTCTGGGGAAGTTGTTGGAGAATTCCCATTGGGAATGAGGAATTTGGAAAGTTTTGTGCAAGCACAGGGCAGGGAGTGGGGAGAGATGATGGAGCCCAAAGCAAAGCTGTAGGAAGGACAGGAATTTGCAGTGGGAATGGTGGCCGCTGGGATTTTCTGAAATTCAGGGAGGATTTCCTTCAATTTTGGCTTTTTTGGGATTCTTGGGGATGGCCCAAACCCAGCCCTGTGAGGGGTCAGGGCTTTCACTGGGAACTAACAGTGCCATTAATCCATAAAATTCCTGGAAACCAGCAATTCCAGATGTCCCTGGATCTCAGCTCTCTTTCCCTGCCTTTTTCCCCACTTTTCCAGGATATCTGACCGTCAGCATCGAGCCCCTGCCCCCGGTGGTGGTGGGAGACGCCGTGACCCTGAAATGCAACTTCAAAACCGACGGGAAAATGCGGGAGATCGTCTGGTACCGGGTGAGCTCCGATGCCTCGGGAATGGGAATGCGGAGCTGGCCCGGCCGCTCCGCGCCTCGGGAACAGAAGGTCAGGGCTGGATGAGGCGGGAAAAGCAGACGGAACTCGGGCTGATGGGAATACCAATTCCAGGCAGGAGGAGGGAGGCAGCTGGGCTGGCCTGGGAAATGTGACTGGGAGGGATGCGGGATGGATTTGGTACCATCGGGATTTGGGATCATCGGGATTTGGGATCATCATTGGATTTGGGATCATCATTGGATTTGGGATGGAGCCCTCCTCTTTTTTTGGAGTGGCTGCCAGCTGGGTTTAGGGATGGCTCGGGACTGGGTTGGGATTTGGAGTCAGAGCTGAGGTTGGCACTGCTCTGCCAAGAGCTTGGTGGGTGGAAAATTATGGGGAAAAAGGAGGAATGTGGAAAATTTGGGATATCCGGGGTTTGGGGAGAAGTTTGGGGTTCTTCACGTAGAGCTTTTAGAAAAAAAACCTTCCCTGTTCCCAACACCTTTGGGAATTTGGGATGTTGAGCAGGAGGGAAGTTCCTGGTTTTATTGGGAAAGGGGGGAATTTGGAACCTGGCTTTATTTGGGAATGGGGGAAATTTGGGGGCCAGTTTTATTTGGGAAAGGAAGGATTTGGATGTTGATTTTATTTTGGAAAGATGAATTTGGGAACCAGTTTTATTTGGGAAAGGTGCATTTGGATGTTGTTTTTCTTTAGGAACGGGGGAATTTGGAGCCTGATTTTGTTTGGGAAAGGAAGGATTTGGATATTGGTTTTATTTGGTAAAGGAAGGACTTGGAGGCCAATTTTCTTTGGAAAAGGAGGGATTTGGAGCCTGATTTTATTTGGCAAAGGGGAACTTGGAGCCTGGTTTTATTTGGGAAAGGAAGGATTTGGAGACTGGAGCTGCCCCTGGATCATCATTCCCAAGCCTTGATCCAGCCTCAGGTTCACCAATCCTGAGCTTTCTCCAGGGAAATTTGGGATAAGCTGCCAACCACAAATGGTTTTATCCAAGAAAACCTGAGGTTTTCCAGGGAAAATTCCTGCAGGAGGCAAAGAGAGGGCAAGGAGTATCAGTGGCATCAGATGGAGCAGCTGGGAATATTTTTCCTTGGATTTCCCATCCTGTTCCCACTCCCTGAACAAGGAGCTGCTCTTGCCTAATGCTCTCCTCCATTCCCAGGTTTATAAACAGGGAAAGGACGGGTGCAAATCCGGCTGTTGGAATGTGGTATGTGCACAGGAACATCTCCATGGAATCCAAGATGGATTTTCCTGTAATTATTTATGGATGGACCCCTAAACGCTGGACAGACAGGGAATAGAACCCCAAACCTGCCCCTAATCCAAAATTCCAGCTTGGAATTGGCTCCACCTCCCCTCTTTTTCAGGGAGAAATTTTTTTTCTGCTAGCTCTGCCATCTCCACCAGGTTTTTCCTTCCCTTTTCCACTCGGTAATATTGGATTAACCCACTTTCCTGGGAGCTGGATTTGCATAATCCCCCCTGCGACGAGGGATGAGGGAGCGGCTGCTGCTCCGGAGCAAACGATGCTCCGAGAAACCTCAGAGGGAAAGGGAAGGGCAGAAATATCCCAGCTTTGATTTTTATCCCCACAAATCCCCCCTTTCTTCCACGGGTTTTTACCTCTCCTTCCCTCTTGCTCCTTTCCCAAGGAGCTTCACAGGTTTGGGAAGTTGGGTTTTTCATGGAGCATCTCAGGATTTGCCCAATTCCTTCCTGATTTTAAGGGGTTTTTTTCCCATTTTTCTCCCTGCCTTGCCTCACTCCTGGACTTTTGCAGCTTCCCAAAGCTCCTGTGGCAGCTCCAGGATGTTGGAGGTGATGGATGGATCCAGGAGAGCTGGGGTGGAGCCTCCGGAGCTGTGGGATTCTGTTTATTCTGCCTGTAAATCATGGGAATGTGGCTCTGGAGCGCTGGATTGGGGTCACGCCCAGCTCCTTGTTCCCGGGATTTATTGGACAGGAGCAGAAGGAGCTCCTGGAGTCTGAGGGATCTGAGCTGCTCCAGGGGCGGGAAGGGGCAGGGAAAAGGAAGAGAGAGAAGGAAAAGTCAATGGCAGCGCTTTGGTGGGGAGTGGAGTGAGGAATAACCCCTGGATCCATAACCTGTGGGACGGATCCATACCCCTGGAATGGATCCATACCCCTGGAATGGATCCGTAACCCGAGGTGGATCCGTAACCCCTGGGGTGGATCCATAATCCATGGGATGGATCCATAACCCCTGGAATGGATCCGTAACCCTGGGGTGGATCCATAACTCCTGGGATGGATCCATAACCTGTGGCATGCATAACCCATGGAATATATCTGTAACTCCTGGGATGGATCCATAACCTGTGGGATAGATCCATAACCCACAGGGTACATCCATAACCCATGGAATGCATCCATAACCCCTGGGATGGATCCATAACCCCTGGGATGGGTCCATAACTCCCGGGTGGGTGATCCCATTGGGATCTGTGCACTCCAAGGCTGAGGAGCCTCATCCCATGGGTGAAACCCCACGGAGAAACCCCACACTGCAACCAGCACCTGCAATTCCAGCAATTCCCCTGGCATCCCCAGGGATGAGGGACAGCAGGGACAACCCTTTCCTCCCGCTGGGAAACCCCTCAGCTGCTGGAACGCCGCTGATTTCAGCATTCCTGGGATGAGCAAAGGGAATTTTTCTGAGAATAAACAGGAACACATCCCGCAGGCGGAGGCGTTAATTAACATCCAACAATTCCAACACCTCCGCAAGGTGTGATGTTCCCGGGAACAGGTGTGAACACGGATCTGCACCTGGAGAGCTCCTGAAAAAGCCTTGGCAGGAGATGGGGGTGGCAGAATCCGCTCGGAATGAGGCTTCCGGCATCTCCAGGGTTGCGCCAGATCCCATGTTGGTGTGGTTGGTGCCTGGATGGGAACTGGGAAAATGACTTCTTTTCCCAGTGGAGCTCAGGAAAGCAGGAGAGGGAGGGAAAATCCTTGGAGGCCCCAGTCAAGCTCTGTGCAGCAGGAAGGGAGGCGGAGCTGAGTTGGGCTGGGCTCAGAGCATGGGAATTTGGGAATTGCAAATGGGGTTTGGTGGATCTGAGGTGTCAGACCAGGGCCAGGCACCATTCCCTGGTGCTGAGTGGGATTCCTGGGATGTCCGGGAATGAAGGACAGGAACGGAGGGGAGCCCACGGAGCTCTGCCTCCATTAATTAGAGTTTGGTGCTCAGGGTAATCAGCAGGAAGGGAATGAACTGGAGCTGGGATTGCTGGGAGCAGGGCCCTGGCATTGCTCCTGGTGGTGTCCCTGGAGTATGGGAATTGCTCCGTGTAGTATCCCTGGAGTATGGGAAAAACCTTAATCCAGAGTTTTCCAGATAACCAGTTATTCCCATTGTTGTGATTCTCCAGGGAATGGACAGGAAAAAAACCCCTAAATTCAGAGTTTTCCAAGACAACAAGTTTTTCCCAGTTGATTCTCCAGGGAATGGGCAGGAAAATCCTAAACCAGGAGTATTTCAGGATAAAGAGTTTTCCCGGTTGATTCTCCAGGGAATGGCCTGGAAAAAACCCTAAACTGGGGTTTTCCAGGATAATAAGTTTTTCCCAGTTGATTCTCCAGGGAATGGGCAGGAAAATCCTAAGTCCAGACTTTTCCAGGATAATGAGTTCTTCCTGGGGCTCTGGCGTGGACCCTGCACCCCTCCCTCCTCCCTCCCCCAAACACTGGGAGTGCTGCAGCCGCTCCAGGGAATTTTCCCTCTTTCCAGAGCCATTTCCATTTGCTTGGAGGAAGGGAATCCATCAATCCGTGCTCGGGACACGGAGCCTGGATCAGATCCCAATTCCGACCCTTTCCAACCGCTCCCTTCATCCCACATCCATCACTTCCCGATGATTTTGGGTCCTTTGGGCATCGTGACGGGAGGCTCCAGAGATTTTAATGGATTTTGGGAACAGCAAATACTCGTTTTAATGGATTTTGGGATTTGTTCGGGTCACTGTGGAGGGGAGGGCAGCAGGCAGGAGCTGCCTTGGGAACAGCTGAGTTTTGTCGGGAATGGGATTTCTTCTGGGATTTATGAATAATGCAGGAAGCAGTGCCCATAATGTGTTCCTGTGCCCCTTTTCCCAAAATTCCTGGATGTGGAGACATCCACTGGGACAGGAACCATGGGATGCTGCCCGATTATCCTCCTTTTTTGACTGCAGTTGGGCTGCAAATTCCCATGGAGCTTCTCCCCTGGGCCTGGATAAAAGGCTGGAATTAGGGCTGATCCCTGGAAAGAGAGAATTCATGATGAGCCTTTTTCTGGAATTCCCTGGAATTCCCTCAGGATTGGAAGTGGCTCTCCCAATCCTCAGGGAATGTGAGGATTCCTGGAGGGTGACTCCAGCTCCCCTTGGATGGGGTGGGATTTGGTCCCACATCTGTCCAGATGTGCTGGGAAAATCCCAAGACTGCAAACTCCCGATCCATGGGCACCTCCTCCACCACTCCCAGCACTTCCCACCCTAAAAGAATCCCTAAAATCCCTTTGGATTTGGATCCCTTCTCCATCCCAGAGCATATCCCATGTTTCTCCTCAAACCCAAAGAAAAGTCCGGAAAAAATCCTTGGAAACTTCCCAAGGCCGGAGATTTACAACTCCCATCATTTATCCCACTTTTCTTTATCCCACATCCGTGCCAGGGTGGAATTTCTTTCCCATAAACGCCTCAGCCTGGGATAATAAACTGGAAGAGTTTTTTTAGTGATGGATTTTTTTTCCTTCTTTTCCACCACTTTTTGCCACTGGAAAATTGGGAAGAGAGGAAATGGGGAATAACGGCAGAATTTTGGCCAAGTGTTGGGTGGGGATTTGGGGTTTTGTCCTTGGGAAATTTTGAATTTGAGGATTAAATCCCAAAGTCTTCTTCTGCTGTTCCTGGTTTATTTTAAAAAATGGGAAATTTCACTCTCTGCTGGGAGCTGGTTTAGCCCCAAAATTCCCATTTTCCTCCATATTTTTCCACTGAAACTCCTCCTCCAAAGCAGAGAAGATAAATCCAGAGGCACTGGAAGACACAGGGAATAGAGTCCTAAAAAAACCAATTTTCCATTTAAAAGTGACAATTCCCAGCTGGAAAATGGAATAACAGGATAGAAAATGTGGATTTAGATTTCACCTCAGCAGGGGCATCATAAATCCATAAATTCCAAGATGAAAGACACTGGGATTCTATGGATAAATATGGAAATCACAATATAATAAAAACAAAAATCAAAATAGAAACAAAACCAAAAATAAAATTCTAATGTAAGTATTTAAATGCACCACATAAAATATTAAAATAAATGTATTTACAGCATTTAAAACAAATTAAAATTCAAATAAATTTATTCAAATCTAAATAAATACCAAAATACTAAAAATTATGTTAAATGCAAATAAATATTTTAAAATTTAAATAAATACATTCAAATTTAAACAAATCTATTCAAACCAAAATCAATTTATTCAAATTGTCAGAAATGAAAACACTTTGAAACATTCCAAAAAGGGCCCAAAATTCCCAGATTTGGGACACTGGGGTTGTTTCCCGCAGGTGACTGACGGCGGCACCATCAAGCAGAAGATCTTCACCTTTGATGCCATGTTTTCCACCAACTTTTCCCAGATGGAAAACTACCGGAAGCGGGAAGACCTCGTCTACCAATCCACTGTGCGGTGAGTCCTTTCTCCCTATTAATGCAAATTTTTAGGAATTTTTTTCCTTATTTTTGCCCCCGTTGAAAGGATTCCAGCAGAACCCGTGCCCCATCCAAGGGGTGTCCCCGGTTTTCCTGATGATTCGCAGGGAAAAGGTGGGGGAAATTGGGATTTTTAGAGGTGGGAATGGGGAGAGAAATCCAAAGCTTGGGAAAATTGGGAAAAACAGATCCATATTTATTTATAAAACAGGCACGGGAGCGTCTCCTTGCTTTTATTCCAAGTGGGAATCACTTCCAGAATTCCAGGTTTATTCCTGATTCTACACCTGCTCCATTCCTGCTGCTCTAAAACCAACTCTGCAGCTTGGAAAAAAGGTCAGGAGAGGCTTCAACTCCGGGGGAAAAAAACTGGGATGAAATTTCCCTTCCTCCCGGTTTCTTTCTGGCCTCGTTTCCTCGGGAAATGAGAATTTTCTGATTGGATTTTCCCAGCTCGTTTTTCCCGGTGTGGGGGGTAAGAAAAGCTGGGATTTCCTCCAGTCATGGGAGGTTTTCCAGCTGGAAATATCCAGAATGGCCTGGGAAGGGCTGGGCCTGGCTCATCCCATGGGATGAGCAGGTGGGAAGTGGGAAATCCTTCCCAATTCTTTGGGATTTGGGATTTTTTTGGGGTGTTCTTTGCTGTTTTTCCCTGCTACATTTGGAGTTGGTTTTTATCCTTAAGGAAAAGCACAGCTGTGTGGGAATGAATGTGGATTTAGAGTGGGAAAAGGGTGGGAAAACGGGGCTGGGGAGGGACTATTATGGGATGGATCAGGAGGATCCTCAGGCCCTGCTCAGGAGAGGCTCAGGAGGAGTTTGGGATGCTCAAGGAGGCGTCAGGAGATGCTCAGGGATTACTCCGGGAATGCTTCAGGAATGCTCTGGAGAAGCTCAGGGGTGTCAGGAGATGCTCAGGGATTACTCAGGGAATGTTCTGGGAATGCTCAGGGTGCCTGGGGGTCACTCAGAGGATACTCAGGGGCTCCTCAGAGGATACTCCAAGGTTACGCAGAGGATACTCCAGGCATGTTCAGGATAAGCTCGGGATGCTCACGTGGATGTTCAGGTAGGTCAGGAGGTACTCCAAGGTTACTCAGAGGAGTCAGATGATGCTTGGGATACTCAAGGGTTACTCAGAGGATGCTCAGGGGATGTTCTGGAGATGCTCCAGGGATGTTCCAGGGGTGCTCTAGATGCTCCAGAGATGCACCGAGGATGCTCCGGAGATGCTCCAGAGTTGCTCCATCCCTGCTTTGGTTTCCCTGGATCCCCAGAGCTGCTCCTTGGATGTTGAACAAATTCCTGATTCCTGTTTGGAAAAGGTTTTGGCAGCTCCAGGCAGGAATTTCACATCCCTGACTCCGGGGCTGTAAATCCAGCTGTAAATCCAGTGCTTCCCTTGGGATTTGGCCATCGCTTGCCTCTAGATGGGAAAATCAGGGAATTAAACTGGATTAAAACACTCCCTGTGCGCACGGGAGGAGTTCATGGGATGAGGATTCAAACATTCCCTGTGCATGGAATGAGGGACTGGAGAATCCCTGGAGCAGGAACAAGGATCAAACATTCCATGGAATGAGGGATTGGGAGAATCCTGGAGCAGGAACAGGGATCAAACATTCCATGGAATGAGGGATTGGGAGAATCCTGGAGCAAGGATCAAACATTCCCTCTGCATGGAGTGAGAGATCAGGAGCATCCCTGGATCAGAAACGAGGAATCAAACATTCCCTGCTCATGGAATATTTCCCAGACACAACAATGAAAAGCTGGCACTTTCCTGGCTCCAGCACTCTGTTTTCCTCCCTTTCTCCACATGTTGAAGAACAAATGGAATTTGGGAGCAGAAAATTCCCCCGCCCCAGCACCAGGCACTTGAAAGCCTTGGGAATGTTTGGGAAAGCGGGCATGGAGCTGGGAGATGTCGGCAGGAAAAGGGTTTTCACAGCTTGCCCTTTTTTTTTTTTCCCAAGGAAAACAGGAGCCGGCCAGAGGAGGAGATCTTTCCCAGAGCTGGTTTTCCCAGTCACTGGAATTTTTTGGGGAGGGCCTACTTGATTTTGGGCTCTCCCAAAGAACTGGGACAAGCCTGGGAAGGGTTTGGGGACGGAGGAAGCATTTCCCAATCCAAGTTTTGTTCCTGTTCATTCTCCCTTTCTTTTTCCATCTATTTATTCTCTCTTTTTTGGGAATATTTGCCATGGTTCAGGCACAGCTGGAGCCATCCCAAGGAGCTTTATCCCAAGAGGAGCCATCCTTATCAGTGTGATCCCGGTCCTTGGTCCTTATCAGCGTTATCCCAGCCTTTATCAGCGCTATCCATGTCCTTATCAGTGCTATCCCTGTCCTTATCAGTGTTTTCCCAGTGGAACCGTCCTGGGGACATTATCCCGGGAGAAGCCGGCCACATTTGTGTTTTTCCGGTTTCTTACCAGCGTTTTCCCAGGCAGAACCATTCTTATCAGCTTTTTCCTGGGTGAAACCAGCTTTATCAGCATTTTCCCACTCATGACCAGGGTTATCCCAGGTAAAACCGTCCACAGAGAATGTTATCCCAGGAGAAGGTGGCCACATCTGCGTTCTCCTGGTTCCTTTTCAGCCTTTTCCTGCTCCTTATCAGTGTTTTCCCGAGTGGAGCCAGCCTTATCAGACTTTTCCCGGCCTTATCAGTGCAGCCCAGGGGCTCCAGCACCGCCTCTTTCCATCCCAGCTCTGTGCCGTGAAGAGCAAAGCTGGGACAGATCCAATCCCTCCAATCCCGTTTTTTTTCCTTTCTCTTGATTAAAATCCCACCCTCGTCCTACAGCGTCGCTTTAGGAATTCCCAAATCCCTTTTTTCCCTGTATTTCTGACTTGAGGATGCGCCAGGGAGCATTTGCCTTTCCAGGGCCAGTTGTTCCCTGTCTCCCATCCTTGGGAATTCCAAGCTGAGCCAGCCAGGCCCCAAAATCTGCTTGCAAATCCAAAGGAATCCTTCCAAATGGGCTGGAGAGGGATCAGAGCTGCTCCAAAGAGCTGCTAACGGAAGATTCCCGATCCATGCGTGGATAATCGGAGCCTGGAACAGATGGTGGAGGCTTGGCTGGAAGTGTTGTATCCATGGAAAGGAGGGATTGTTCACTTCTAGGGGATCCTTCATGCGGGAAGGCAGCCAGGGGCTGGGAGAAGGGAAGAGCGGAGCTGGAATCCCCCTGGAAGGGAAAATTCCCCCAAGGGGGATTTTTAACCAGGATGCTCCATGAGGGAATTGCTCCCATCCACATGGGATGGATGAGGTGGGATAAGGCTGCCGGAGTGGAGGGATGGATCTCCTGGAAGAGGGAATGCTGCCAGCTGGAAGGTAGGATGATGCTGGGATGCTCTTCTCTACCACGGTGGGATGGCTGTGCCAGCTGGAAAGGTGGAATATTGCTGGAAAAGCAGGATGAGGCTTCTGGATGGTGGGGCGGGATAATGGTCCTGACTGGAAAGACGGGATGTTTCCAGCTGGAGAAATGGGATAATGATGACTGGAAAGGCAGAATGCTTCCAGCTGGAGAGGTGGGATAATGCTTCTGACCGGCAAGGTCGGATGTTCCCAGGTGGTGAGGTGGGATGAAGCCAACTGGAAAAACAAGATGCTGCCATCCAGTGAGGGGGAATAACGCTTCCGACTGGAAAGGTGGGGTGCTTCCAGCCACAGAGGTGGGATAATGGTCCTGACTGGAAATGTGGGATGTTTCCAGCTGGAGAAGTGGGATGATACTGCTGACTGGAAAGGCGGGATGCTTCCAGGCAGTGAGGTGGAATGATGCCAACTGGAAATGTGGGATGATTCCTGCTAGAGAGACAGGATGCCGCCATCCAGTGAGGTGGGATAATGCTTCCAACTGGAAAGGTGGGATGCTTCCATCCACTGAGGTGGGATAATGCTGCCAACTGGAAAGGTGGGATGCTTCCATCCAGTGAGGTGGGATAATGCTGCCAACCGGAAAGGTGGGATGCTTCCAGCTGGAGAAGTTGGGATGGTGCTTCTGGCCAGGGAGGTAGGAAGTTACAGATCAGCAAGGAGGGATGGGACCAGCTGGAGAGGTGGGATGATGCTGCCTGGAAATGTGAGATGCTCGCAGCTGGAGAGGTGGGATGGGATATTGGCTGGAAAGGCAGGATGCTCCCAGCTGGAGAGGCGGGATGGTGCTGCCATCTGGGTGGGATCATCCCTCCCACTGGCACATGGAATAACCCAACACCTCCTCTGTAAAATCCACCAGATCCTTGTGCTCTTCCATCAGGCCAAACCTGTTCCCCAGATCCCATCTTTCTATGGAGACCGTGGGATTTGGGAGTGAGGAAAGGATCAAACCTTTGGGATGCAGAAGCAGGGAACTAATCAGACCTTTGGGATTTGGGAGCAGGGAACAAACCAAATCTTTGGGATTGGGGAGCACAGAATGAACAAAACTTTCAGGATTTGGGAGTGGGGAAAGGACCAAATCTTTGGGATTTGTGAGAGAATGAACCAAATCTTTGGGATTTGGGAGAGAATGAACCAAACTTTTGGGATTTGGGAGAGAATGAACCAAACTTTTGGGATTTGGGAGTGGGGAAAGGACAATGGGTTCCATCCAAAGGGATGCTGAGGACACCCCTGCTGCACTCATTGTCCCCTTTGTCCCCTCCAGGTGTACTTCAAGCGGGACGGGGAGCCCATCGAGGCCACCCCGCTGCCGGAGCCGCCGGCCGGCGCCAGCAGCTGGGCCCCCCGGAACCTCCTGCACCGCGACCTGGACGACACCAAGCTGCCAAAATCCCTGGCCGCCGACGGCGAGCTGGGAATGGGAAACCCCTTTGCCACGGTGGATCCACCGCGGGGGCTGGCGGCCGAGCGGGATTCGGTGACGGAAAGCATTCCCGAGACGGTTGTGAGCCGGGAATTCCCGCGCTGGGTGCACATGGCCGAGCCCATCTATTACTTCCGGCACACGCACGCGCCCGTCAGCGACGGCACCGTCGAGGCCCGGGCCACCCTCACATGGACCCTGAACCCCCAAATCGACAACGAGGCGCTCTTCAGCTGCGAGGTCAAGCACCCGGCGCTCTCCATGCCCATGCAGTCTGAGGTCACGCTAGGTAAGCCAACGGATTTGGGGCTTTTCCTGGGTTTTGGGCACTTTTGTCCATTTTGCAGGATTTTTTTCTCTTTTCTTTGGCTTTTCTGTTTTTATTCTTTAGCCTTTCTCTCCAGTTTTTGGCCTTTCCCTAACATTTTTTGCCTTTTCAACCCATTTTTGGTCTATTTAATGTTTTTTTATTTTCCCACTATTTTTGGCCTGTTTTCCTTCTTTTTTTTTTTTCCTTAATTTCCTTTTTGTTTCTTTACTTTCCTCTCAATTTTTGGGTTTAAAATTTTTTTTTTGTTTTTTCTCCATTTTTTCTTTTTTTCTTTTTTTTTTTTTTTTTTTTTTTTTTTTTTTTTTTTTTTTCTTTTTTTTTTTTTTTTTTTTTTTTTCCCCTTCCTTCAATTTTTGGGTTTAAAATTTTTTTTTTGTTTTTTTTCCATTTTTTTTTTTTTTTTTTTTTTTTTTTTTTTTGCTTTTTTTTTTTTCATTTTTGCCTTTTTTTTTTTTTTTGCATTTTTCTGCCCATTTTTCTGGACTTTTCCACAGGGTTTTGTTTTCTGTTTTAATTCCACATGTTTTGCTTTCCTTGCACCCATTTTCTCTCTCCTTTCGTCCTTTTTCTTTTCTTCTGGGGGTTTTTTAGGTACACATCGGGATCCAAGGGGCTGCATTGGGATAGAGGTGGTGATGCCAAGGCTCCACAAAACTTTTGATGGGAGGAGGGAATCTGGGATGTCCATCAGGCAGCAAAAGGGATTTTCCAGGTGTTTATGGCCCCCCAGCCATAAGCAGTGTTTAGTGGGGGGGTTTGCTGGGATAAAAAAGGATTTTTGGAGAATCTGTGTCATGATGAGCAGGAAGAGGGTATTGGAGCTGAGGATGGAGCTGTCACCTCCATCCCAGTGCCAGGAGATCCAAGGGCATCCCATGACCCTTAGTGGCTGCCACAAAGCTCATCCCAGTGGCAATTGCCAGAGAGGAAATTCCCGAGTTGGCTCCTGCCTGTGGAGCTGTGACAGGTTGATGGGATTGAAGCCAGGGAATTTGTCTCCCCACATTCCCAGGTCCCTGGAAGAGCAGAAGCTCCTCAGGTGACCGTGGGATCAACAGGTCCATCACCACCTCTCACCTTACCTGGGGCTCTCCTCCCCTCTCCTGGCTCCCTCTGGAAGAGGCTGAGCTCTCCACGGGGTTTTCCAGCCTCAGGACACTCCTCTGGAAAGCTTCTCCCAGCCTCCAGCCAGGTGGAGGAGCAGCCTGGGCTTTGCTCCAGGCCAAGTGGAGCACTTGGCTCCTCATCATCTCCTGGAGAGCTTCTCCTTGGCTTCCTGACATCTTTGCATTAAATCTCTTCCTCAGCATCCAAAACGTATGGAAATCCTTCATTTTTCCACTTCCTGGAGCTCTTTGGGTTTAGATCCAAGGTCAAGACCTCATGGCTTTGATGCTCTTGCCCAGGAGGTCCAAGACCTGGATTGGCAAAGCTCAGCCCACATTTTCCCCAGTCCGCAAATCCAGGGCTCTCCTCGTCCCTGGAGGTGTCCCTGCAGCTCCTTGGGTGCCCATCCACTCCTTTTTTTGGGAACCATCCCAGCAGATCCCCTTAACCCTTTCCCTACATCCATAGTATAAATACACACTATGGGTATACATAAAATATAGATTCCCAATAAAAGCGAAGATATTCCAAAAAAAAAAAGCTGCATTAAACCCAACACCAACCCAAAAGCTGCCTTTTTGTCCCAGTCAGGGCATGGTGGGATCACTTTCAGTGCATCCTCCCCTGTCCTGCTCCAGAGGGCCACATCCTACCTGGAAAGAGCAGTCCATGGTCTCAGGGTGTCCAGATAGAGCATCCCAGGGCAGGGATGGCCATTCCAAGGGCTTCCAGCATCCTCCACCACAGCTCTCTGGTGGCTCTTTGTCCCCCTGTGTGCTGCTGGGGTCACATCCAGGTCCATTTTGTCCCATCCATGACAAAGCTTGGATTGACAAAGGTGACAGATCCAAAGCGCAACCTCGCTCCTGCCCATTTCCCCTTCTCCTTCCATGAATGTCCAGAAAGCTCCTGGGATGTCCCCTCCCACTTCTGGCCCAGCAGGGACATCCGCACAGCCCCAGGTGGAAGCAGGAGCAGGTCCTGTGTGGTGTCCCTCCATCCCAGCGGAGGAGCGTCCCTAGTCTGGCATGGGAAAAGGGATTCCCAGTTTTTTCCATGCTGTCCTTGGGATTTTGTGCCAGCCAGGCTTTGGGGTGGTCTCCTGTGCTAATGGGACCTGGGTGAGACTCACCAAGGCCACATTTTTTGGGAATGCTCCTCTGAGGTGTCCATCTTCCTGGCTTCAAACCAACCTGATCCTTCTTGGCCTTTTTTCTGAGCGGTGAAGGGCTTGGTTGGGAAATAACTCCTTTCCATCAATCCATCCCAGCCATCCATCAGCCTCACACTTTTCCCCGTTCTCCTGCCCAGGGGGTCCTTCCCTCCCTGTCCATCCGTCATTCCGGTGTCACTCAGCCCGGCCATCAATCACGGAGCCATCACCCCCTGGGCTGCCACCCCTCACTGGGATCATCCATCAAAGCCTCGTTAACCCCTCCAAGGGCAGCCCCGGCGCTGGGAATGTCACACGGCGCTGACGGCTCCTCCTGTCCCCTTCCTGTGCAGTTGCTCCCAAGGGTCCGAAGATCACGATGACCCCAACGAGGGCGCGCGTGGGGGACACCGTGCGGATCCTGGTGCAGGGCTTCCAGGTCAGCATTCCCAAGGCTGCAGGGGTGAATGGACAGCCTTGATCCAAGGATGTGGACGTGGGCTTGGCTTGGTGGCCTTGGTGGCATCACAGTCCCTATGTTGGGATGGGTTGGCCAAAGTTGTGGCTGTTCCACCCTGGAAGTGTCCAAGGACAGGCTGGGTGGGGCTTGTAGCAATCTGGGACAGTGGAAGGCATCCCTGTCCATGGCACAGGGTGGGATGGGAGGAGCTTAAATGTCCCTTCTAACCCAAACTCAAACCTAAACCCAGACTCAGACCCAGACCCAGACCATAGTCAAACCCAAACCCAAATCCAAACCTAAACCCCAGCTCAAACCCAGGCTTAGACTCAGACCCAGACCCAAATCCAAACTCAAGCTCAGACCCAAACTCAGACTCAAACCTAAACCCAAACCCAGGCTCAGACCCAGATGCAAACTCAAGCTCAGATTCAAACTAAACCCAACTCAAACCCAAACCCAGACTCAGACCCAGACCTAAACCCAAACCCAAACTCAGACCTAAACCCAATCCCAAGCTCATCCCGAGCCCCAGTCCCAGCGCCAAGCTGGATGTGATGATTTCATCTCCAGCTTTGCTCGTTCCCGCTCCCCTCTGACCTCACCCTGTCCCTGCAGAACGAGGTGTTCCCGGAGCCGCTGTTCACGTGGACACGCGTGGGGAGCCGGCTCCTGGACGGCAGCGCGGAGCACGACGGGAAGGAGCTGGTGCTGGAGCGGGTCCCGGCCGAGCTCAACGGCTCCATGTACCGCTGCACCGCCCAGAACCCGCTGGGCTCCACCGACACCCACACCCGCCTCATCGTCTTCGGTACGGCCACACCGCGGCCCCGCTGTGCCCCCCACGTGTTCCTGCTTGCCTCCTCCCCCCTAAAATTGTCTCTCTGCTCTTTGTTTCCTGCTAGAAAATCCGAATATTCCCAGAGGACCAGAAGACTCCAACGGTGAGCGGTGCTGGTGGCACTGGGATTTCCATGGAGATGCTCAGGGAGGGAAGGGCTGTGCGGAGAGGGCCTGGCCTTGCCTTGGCCCCGGCCCTGGGCCACCTCTCCTTGTCTCACTCTGAGCCCTCATCCATCTCTCCTTGCCTTGTCCCAAGCTCTTGCCCATCCTTCTCTGACTCATCCCAAGCCCTTTCTGATCTGCCCTTGTCTCACTCCAAGCCCTTTCCCATCTCTCCTTGCCACATTCCAAACCCTTGCCCATCTCTACCTCACTCCAAACCCTTTCCCCTCTCTCCTCACCTCATTCCCAGCCCTTTCCCATCTCCTAGCCTCATTCCAAGACCTCATCCATCTCTTTTCCTCATTCCCAGACCTTTCTCACCTCCTAGCATCATTCCCAGCCCTTTCCCATATCTCTCTGCATCATTCCAAGCCCTCATCCATCTCTCCTCACCTCATCCCAAGCCCTTTCCCATCTCTCTTTACCTCATTCCATGTCCTTTCCCATTTCTCTTTGCCTCATTCCATGTCCTTCCCTATCTCTCCTCATCCCCAGCCCTCTCCCGTGTTCTCAGGAACATCCTCCATCCCAAAAGGGACCCTGCGGATGCTCCCACCCCATCCCTCATCTCCACCTGACCCCACCCAACCCCCAGGCCAACGTTTGGGGGGGGGATCCCCTCCTAACCAGTGGTGCCCCTGTCCTGCTCTGAACCCCAGCATTGGTATGTGGCTCCGTGAACTCCTGATCCCTTTTTTCTCCTCTCCAGGTTCACTTCCCGGCCACTGTGGCTTCAGATTTGTTTTGGCGCTCACCCTGACAGTGATCCTGGAGCTCACGTGAAGCTTCACCTCCTCTTCTTCCTCCTCCTCCTCTGTCCAGCTCCTCCTGGCATTCCTGCCTCCAGCCATCGGGTCTCCCGCTCTTTTTTTTTCTATACTCTTGACAGTCTCGGTCTCTTTCCGTGTCTTGGCTTCCTCAGACGATTGAATTAAAGGGAAAAAGGAAAACCTCTTCTGGGAGAAAGTCGTAATTCATGTTTTACCTGTGCTGGGATTCCCAGCTCCATCTCAAGGTTCCCAGCACTGTCTTGGGGTTCCCAACTCCATCTCGGGGTTCCCAGCGCTGTCTTGGGATTCCCAGTTGCATCTCGGGGTTCCCAGCACCATTTTGGGACTCCCAGCTCTTTCTTGGGGTTCCCAATCTGTCTCGGGATTCCCAGTTGCATTTTGGGGTTCCCAGCTTTGTCTCAGGGTCCCCAGCTCCATGTCAATGTTCCCAGCTTTGTCTTGGTGCTCTCAGCTCCATGTTTGTGTTCCCAGCACCACCTTGGGGTTCCCAGCACCACCTTGGGGTTCCCAGCTTTGGGGCTTTGCAAGTTCTTGGAAGGGGGAGCAGGAGAATTCGAGGATTCAAGGACCAAATTTTCCCTGGAAAAACCCACGTGCAGCATTCCCACCACCCCGAGATGCTCCAGGCCTTGTCTCCCCGGGGTGAGGACCGGCACACATCCCCAGCCCTCCTGAGGCCGCGGAGGCGGCACCAGGAGCCCAAAGTCGTGGATCACTGGGTTTATCCGGTGGGATTCCGGCTGTGCTGGGAGCCAGGGCCCGTGCGCGCCACTCGTCCCGGGCTGGCTGAGGAATGACAAGTGACAGGCGGCTCCCGACCCCAAATGTCAGTGCTCACACTTGAGCAGGCAGCGTGTCCCGTCGGCGCCGGGCCCCTCGTGGCCAGCTGTCCCCATGGAAACGGGCCGGATCCGGCCATTCCCGCGGTGCCCCATCCCGGGATGGCGTCAATCCCGCAGCACGACAGCTCCTGGCGAAATCCAGGTGGTTTTGCCCCAGTCCTGGAGGCTTTCCAGCCTTTTCCTCGTTGTGGAGCACTTGGCTGTGGGCCGGGATCTCCTGTGGGGAAAGGATCCCGAGGATGGGGCGCTCCCAAGCCTTTTGCTCTGGGAACTTGTAATCCTGGAGGATTATTTGGCAGCCGTGCAGTGCCTCATCTTCCCAAAGCCCCGCACGAGCCTAAGCATCATTATCACCGTGATGATTAATTATTATTAAGCAGATTCCAGCCCTTCCCTGCTCAGTTGCCAGCCTTGCTGCTTTCCCAGCCTCAGAGGAGCCAAACAAACCCACAGCAGCTCCAGAGCTCCTTCCCATGCAAAATCCCAGAGTTTTACCCTTTGGACTGGGAGCAGTCGGATCGGGACCGGCTGGGATGTGTGGGAGGATCAGCAGCTCCACTTCCATTCCAAAGGAATGGCATCCAAGCATCCCAATCCCATCGGATCTGTGCTTCCACTCCACGGACAAGAAGAAAATCTTCGTTTTTTCAGAAGAAAATCTTAATTTCTTCAGGAATTCTCCCTGCCTCAGTTTCCCTCCACGCTCTGGAGAGCCTCTCCCATGGATCTTTCTGCCCTTTCTCATGGATCGGAGCCGCTCCAGGAGCCTCATCCCGTCCCAATTAAACAACCGCCAGGATTAAACAGCCATTAGGCCTCCCCGCTTGGAAAAGCGAGCATTTCCAGCCGCCCGAAGCTCCATTTAAATGCAAATGTGGCGGGTTTAGCCCAGAACCGTGGAAATGAGGAGCATTCCCGTGGAAACGAGGAGCAATTCCAGCGGCGGGACCACCACCGGCTCCACTCGGTGCCACCCCGGGAGCGCTGGGATGTCCCCAGCCAGCAGCTGGGGCAGGAACGCCGGGCTGGGTGGGCCTGCATCCCAAACCCACCCCGATTCGGGATGCTCTGGGAAGAATCCCTGGGAAAAGGGATGGATTTCCTGACGTGGATGGATCTGCCAAAGGCTGGGACCTTCCTTGTGCCAGCACAGACAGATGAGTGAGGGGATTTGGGAGTTTCTCCCCATTTTGGGGCAGAGCTGCTGCCTGTTTTCCTGATTTCCTGCCAAAACGAGCCACACAAATGGGTTCCTTCCCACCATCCACAGTCCCACCAGAAAGAACCATCCACGCTGTGCCGGACCCACCTTCCCCTCCCCACCCTCTCCCTGCAGGAAATCGCAGAGGACCCCAATTTGCCCCCCTTTCCCCCCATCCCCGATCCCGTTGTTCGAGGCGCCGGCAGTGAATAATGCAAGAGGAGGCTGGAGGGGAAAGGAGCGGCTCAGGTTGTTCCATTATTGATGAGAGCTGACAGATCCGCTCCTGACAACCTTCAGAGGAGATCTGATTAGCTCGGAAAAAAAAACCCCACCGAAACAGCAGCGCCTTCGCGAGGGGCTGACGGCAGCTGAAAACCCCAAAGGAGCGGCGTTATCGACGTTCCCGAATTCCAGGGGACTTTGAAAAAGGTTCTAGCAGGTTTGGAAGAGGTAATTACGCTCAATTAGAGTCACAAGCGCCGAGACGTCAGCGCTGCTTCTCCCGCTCCCCTCACACCTCAGGCAGGGATAAATGGGGATTTATCCAGCGGAATCCGTGCATTCTTTGGCATAGCGGGAACCGGGGGTGCTCCGGCCCTGCAGGAAAGTCAGCGGGAGCTTCGCTCGGCGCCTCCCCCGCCTCCCCCCTCATTGCCGGCTGGGTTCACGGGGCTGCCGAGCGCATGAATAATTCATCCTCCTCCTCCCCGGCTCCCAAGCGCCGGGATCTTTGTAGATCCAGCCGCGGGATGAAAGCCCCGGCAGGAGCGGTGAAGGGCCCGGGAGGTCGCGGCTGCCAGACCCTTTCCCAATTAGCCGAGCCCTGGAACGCGTGCCCAGACTCCACACGCGGCTCTCCTCCCTCAGCTTCGATACTGCCCGGGCTTCCAGGCAGGAAAAATTCTCCTTTTCCCAAGGTTTTGGCCAAACCGAGCGCCCCACGGATGGATTTTGGGGCTCTGTCTCCGGCAGGATGGAGGAGAGAGGCTGGGTGGGTTTGGCTGGCACTGTTTTGGATGCACGACACCACCTGTGCTCCAAAATCCAGCTTTTAAGTGAAATATCTTAATTCCCCCAAGCTCTTCTGTGCTGCATTTCCCCACAAGAGGGGGATAGCATCCCAAACATTCCCCTAGATATCCTAAATTAATCCTAAATAAAATATCCTAAATATCCTCCATTGGTGGATCCATATTCCCAGCAGGGACAAACACAGGGATCCCTGAGTGCCGAACCAGCCCGGGGGGGGGTCATTCCTGTGCTCCCTTTCCATCCTCTTCTGGGATACAAAAACATTTTCAGTGTTTAGGACAGGATCCTCCAGCTGGAGGGTCAGGGGACCCAGCTCCATCCCCTCCACCACGGGAATTTCAGCCTTCCCGGGAATTTCAGCATCCCAGCCTGGGCAGGGGGACACCTCAGCACTCAGGGATGCCAGGGATGGTGGAGAATCTGCCCCGAGGGGGTTCAGAGGTTCCTCCCCACCCCAAAATCTCGGGAACAGGCTGGTGGGGATCGGCTGCTCCATTGGGATGAGGTCTGGGAAATTGAGGACATGGGGAATGAATTCCTGAGCTCCCACCTCCCACTGGCGACCCCTGGCAAGGCCCCCTCGCACCGCAGCCACCCACGGGCTGGGACACATCACCCGCACACCACCCACATCCCCTGGCTTCATCCCTGAGGAAAATCCCACTGGATTGGGATGGAGCCAGCAGGGAGCGAGTCCCTGAGTGAAAGCAGGAGCTTCCACCCACCCCCAGCTTGGCTCTTTCTTCCCTCGTTCTTTTCCGCCCCTCTCGGATGTTCCCCTGGGTCTGATCCCTTTGAGTTCTCCTCCCTTGGCGGCGGTGGCAGTGATGCCATTCCCCAGGCTCCCGCCTTTCCCCCCCACCGTGGTTCCACTTTTGTTTCTTGGGGACAAGAATTCCCTGAAATCTTCGGAGTTCAGGCCAGGAGCTGATCCACCACCAGCACCTTCCCGGGGAGAGAACGCAGCCCTGCCGTGCCTCAGTTTCCCCACCAATCCCTGCAGCAACCCTCAGGAATGACAACTCCCATCTCTTCCTATCCCGAATTTCTCCTTGCATTTATTCCTTCCTTCACTCCTCTCCTCGTGCCCACAGCTGATCTCCAGCCCCGGTTTCCTGCCCAGCTCCCGGATTTTCCCCCTTCCCGACACCCCCAGCTCCTTTTCCACCAGCTCCTCCTTCCCCGCCACTTCCACGGCGGCCTCCGAGAGACCCCACAAGCTCCGGGGCTCTTTCCCGTCAGTCCTCCTAAGGCAGCGGGCGGCAAACCAGGGCCGCTGAATTAATCACTGAATTAATTAATCACTGAATCAACCGCTGAATTCGTCACCAGGCCGTGCCGCGGAGCAGCTGCTCGGCATCAGCCCAAAGGGCTCCCGGCTGCTGCTCCCTCCCTTTTCCGGGAGCACCGAGGGATGAGGAGCCTTTGCTGGGCACAACTTTTTTCTTTTTTTCTCTTTTTTTCTCCTTTTTTCGTTGCGTGACCCTTTTTAAAGCACCGCAGAGGACAAGCAGCTCCCCGGGGATGTTTTTCCTGCCTTTGTGCCCTTCCCCGAGTCTCTCTCTCCATTTCCCAGGCCAACAGAGCCGGCCCTGGGCTGCACCTTTCCCTGGAGCCCAGCCCATCCCAAACATTCGCGGCTCCTCCGGAAGCCTCCTGCCAGCTCTGCCCGCTCAAAGTCACCTTGTCCCAGACCGCCGCACTCCGGCCTCTCCCGGCAAATAATTAATCGGCTCTTCGGCATTCCCGCATGGAAAAATGCCCCAGCGGGTGCCCCCGGCCTGGCACTCGGACATGCAGCTGCCCGGGAAGCTGCTCCTGTCGGCGGCCGCGCTGCTGCTCCTGTCCCTGGCCTTCAGGTTTTGTAGGAACCGCTCGCCTCCCCCGGGAAAAATCCTGCCGGGAGAGCAGCGGGAAAACCGGGATGGGGATGGGGCTCTGAGGAGGAGGAGGAGGAGGGATGGGGGAAACAAATCTGGGAATGGCCCCGGGATGCGGCACGCAGCTCTCTGGGGAGAGAAAAGCTTTCCAAGGAAT